CGGTTTTATTTGCCATATCAAGACCGATTATCTGACATGTCACCCGCGCAATTTGTTGCAGCCATCATTGCCCAGGATGGGCATGAAGTTGAAATGGAGGACGAAGACGTCCAATTGAGCGAAATGATTGATGGCCAAGAGGTGCAACCCATAGGCCCAAAGCAGCTACGGCAACCAGAAACCCCGTCCAACGAGCAACGTGCAAGACACAACCTCACCCATGCAGACTTTGCTGCGTGGTGTCCCCACTGTGTTGCTGGCAAAGCCCCCGAAGACAAACACATCCGAAGAGACAAGCATGAAGATGCGGAAATCTCAACAATCCAATTGGATTATCAGTTCTTCAGTCGAGACGGCCAACTCGGTGAAGAGGAAAGTTGAGCCGCAACAGCCCTCACTGGAACTGACACGTCTTCAGGGTATCCATTCATGATTTTTGTGCCCCGCAAAGGTGTTCACACTTACGTCGTGAAAGCGCTCATGGTTTGGATCAACCGTCTAGGGTACAAGAAGGTAATTTTGCAACATGATTCGGAAGAAGCTTTGCGAACAGTTGTGGAACAAGTCCAGCAAAAGATGGGACCCGATAAAGTGCAAGTGCGTGCCAGCCCTCCGTACAGCCACCAAAGCCAAGGAGGTGCTGAGAACACAAATCGTCTCATGGCAGGAATGCTGCGAACATGGTTGAGTGCACTGCGGGAGAAATACCCCGATCCAGAACAGCCCATTGACATCAATCATGTCATTGTCCCATGGTTGTGTCGTTGGATAGCTTTTGTTTGGGCCAGGTACCATGTCAAGCATGATAACATGACTGCATTCAAAATCGTCACTGGTAGGGAGTACGCATCACCAAAAAAACTTGGTGCCCGGCGCAGGTGTGGTGCCAGGGTTTGAACTTGTTAGCGTGCATACGGCATATTCAGAAAGTTTTCAAGAAACGGAAACAGAAACCCTCCCATTGGTCCACCGCCAGTGGCCTCAACTTGATTGATCTGACTCATGTTGATTTTTCCCCATGCCTGCGGCATAGGGTTCTAGCGGCCCCGTTTCGCACTTCCATTCGCAAGGGGCACGGCGAAGGGGGCACGGCGATTTCTTCACAGACTTTTGAACAGCGCCCTCGTACATCACGCCATGGCAAATGCAGGGCAAGTACTTGCTCGGTGTTTTGTTCAGTTTTTGGTTTGGGGTCCTGAAGGATTCAGCTTTGTGCACTGCCTGAAACATTTGGATGTGTTTCTTCGCGTTTTTGTCAGGACAATCTTTGGTTGTTTGCTGGCGACCTCCCTTATCCCAGTGACTTGTCGGAACTTTGGAACTTTGGGATTCGTCATTTGGAAGGCACTTTTGCAGCCAGGCCTGGGTGTTGTGCCTGCTTCTGAAGTTGGTGTTGTCGCGCTTGCCGGTGGAGAGGCCAGGCAGTGGTGAGCGGTGCTACAGTGAAGCATTGATGGATGGTCATTTTGCACCAAAATCACCAATTGATTCAATGATGCCTCCACCGGTGTGGACTTTTCCTACGCGGTTTGCCAGATTTCAATGGATCCGAGGCGTGCTGCCTTTGAAAGGTGCTTCGGTCGCATGCTCATCGCTGCTGCCCAAGGGGTTTTGTTGTGGAGTGGGTGTGGTGGGAATGCACAAGGGCAGCGAAATAGCTGCATGGAAAATTTGGGGTTGACTCAGGTCATTTTAGTAGTGCTTTGGCGGATGCGGCTTTTCAGCATATTGAGATGATGTCTGCGGAACTGCGGAACTGTGTGCCGAATCAACGGCTCATTGAATGCCTTTGCTTGTTTTAAGGGTGTTTACGCTTTGTGCATGGATCCGGGTGGAAGTGTTTCAGCAAGAAGTGCCGGGAACTTGGCTGACCAGGATGAGATGTTGGCAGAGTCTTCATTGTCAACCTAGGCCTTTTCTCGGTGCACCAGGGAAACCAGCTGTGTTAGTGTGAGCGCGGCTTGGTTGGGGCCCACAAGTGCCAGCAGAATCTTTATATAGAGAGTGTGGTGGTGCATGATGATCGAAACCAATATTTCACGATAGCGTTTGATGTTTTACTTGGGCATCTTTGGTTGGCAGGATGAACCACACGTGTTTTCTTGACGCCGTGCCAAAAACTCAGCTGCTGGATGTCTCTAAAACCCACGGGCACGCAGGTTTCAGTAAGTTTTAGGCATTACAAATGTATTGGGTTTTAGCTTTGCATGACTTGGAACATTTGCCGTTGTGGCGGCTGCTGCCAGTTGGAAACAATTTGTTTGAATTTCCTGTTTGTATGCATTAGGCTGGCCACCTCTTTAGCACCCTTGAACCGCAGCTCGGATGTGCGAGTGCTTGTGGCGAACTATGTGCGGAGCCCCAAGCAGGAACATGGCAGAAGGCTAAGCCCCTCCAGCAGACTGAGCCACGGGCTTTAGGTTGGCGTGATGGCTGGCTGTTCTTCACAGGATCCAGAAACCGAGAAAGACGGGGGTGGCATGGGCAGGTCTTCAAGATTCCGTTGCTTGGAACCGTAATGCGGGCCAGCTACTGAGATGTCCCAATTTCAGGTTTCCAGTCTTCAACTCATGCTCAGTTTGAAGGTCATGGGCCTCCCAGAGGTTCCTTTCAAAGCATGTGCAGGCGTGCTAAGTGTGCTGTGCAAACTTGTCCAGTAGTGGAAAGACATCCCACGATGATTGAGGGGGAGGCGAGACTTCGAATATGACCGTGGAGAAGAACCTCATGGAAGAGAGGTGTCTTTTTCTGCGGCTGTTACGGCTGCGCGACGCGTTTTTTTTAAAACATAATTTTGTGTGATTCTAGCAAATTTTGCGTGATTCTAGCATGACAAAGGATGACCTACCCTTGGGGCGGTGTGCATGACAAGACTTGTTCGCAACAGAAACCTCAAGCAATCATAGCTCCCATTTGAGGAACTCACCTTTATTCTTAGCATGCGTGCAACAAGAAGAGCAAGACCTTTCAGGTGCACATAAGTGACAAGTATCTTAGAGGAGTTGCACTATCAAAACGAACAGGAAAACATGTGAGGCTGCAGACGGGGGGTTTTCCGGACGAAAACGACGCAAGCAAACGCGATACGAGTCAAAGACGTGGAGCCTGCCGGTGTTTCTGGTCGGTAAAGTGTGCAAGCTTTGATGCATTGAAAAATGTGCGAAGAAAAACATAGGGAAACATTTTTTGATCAAATTCGCGTCAAGATTTGCAAGTTGAACAACATAGATAAACCTTGATTTTGAAAAATATGTTTTCATCTCCCACACCAACTCACGAACGATCCGTCGCCCCTCGATAGCCCTTCCACTATGTGGGGTGCCAGAGGTCTTGTATGTACGACAACATGTAGGAATGTACAACACGTGCAGAGATCATACACACATGCACCGGATTAAGACACGGTGTATGGTGATGACGGAAATTAATTAACACATCATCGAGCGAAGGCATCTAATTTGGCACATCAAGAGATTGAAGTGACTTGTTTTGACGAATACATTTTTTGATTCTCTGGTAGAGGTTATGACGTTTGTCACAAGAGATATCATTGTACGAAGGATTCGGACACGGGTTCGCACAAGGAATGATGGACGGCACAACGCGAACATTTAATGGATATGACTGATTAGGCAAAGAAGCATATGCTTGCACATTTTGCATGAGCAAATTCTGCATGCGGCAAAAAGGGTTAAGCCGAAATACCCCCAATCAAACTTCGATGGAACCCAAGGCGAATCAGGGAGCTAGCATTGGTCTTCTTGTATCGTGGGAAAAAAGAACACTGCAGGGAGTTCTCCAGATATCGGACTACAGAGCGCAAAACCCCCGCCTGATGCCACAAGCATCTTTTAGCGTCTGGCTGAATTTTTGCTTCAGAAGAATTAAATGCATATGGGCGTGGTAACTTTTGAGCCGTATGATATATCCAAATCGGGAGGCAGGTGCCGGTGAAAAGGGCACAATACAATGCAAGTTCATACCATGTTATGCCAAAATCCCCGGATGCTACGGGAGCCTCGGATGGTCGCCATCGAAACGTCTGGAACATTTGCCATACTTTATAAGCCACACCTGCACCAACCGGGCAACCTTGTGCGACTATCTCAGGTAATTCAACGTCTACAGACCAAAAACTAGGACCGACATCCCATTGACGCAGAACTGATTGAAAGTTGGCATATGCATCCAAGGTATTATGCTGACGCTCCGAAGCAGCATTTTTCTCTTTTTCAACTTTCAGTTTGGAGTGGAGCATATTTAAATCCGCAAGGTATTGATAAATCAACAGCAGGGCATCTGTTTGATTTGACGAATGTCGGAAAACAGCCTCAGCTGTGTCTTGAAAATGAGGAAGATCAATTTGGTTAATTTTCTTGGCGACTTGATCAGCTAAATTATTACCCAAAATTGTGTATAGATCGCAAAGATCGACCGCTTCCTCTAAACTACGGTGTGATTTTACCTTGTAGATTTGGAGAAACAGTGGATTCCAACATTGCTGAAGCTGATGGATGAGGTTGACATGGGATTTCTGAAAGGTCTTGGGGTCCAGTGTATTTGATGCAATCGCCTCAACCAGGCGCAGTGCATAATCGGAATCAGTGTGAATTGACATAAATTGATTAGGACGGAATTCGGCAAAATGTCGTGCCAACCATGCAATTGCTCCAAGTTCTCCTCGATTAATGGACTGAGTTCCTGTCACATGTGAACTTTGCGTAACTACAAAGTCATTCACCGATGGGTCTTGGGAGTTGGAATTAACATGTTGAACGATTGCCCACGCGGCACGACAGCAGTTTTGGAATTTGGGACGGTCACAACTCCCATCAGTGTAGAAAACGTGATGGGGTAATGACACAATATTTGGGACATCAAGAAAGGGTCCTTGGCGGGCATATTTAAGGAGGTTGTAGGTTACCTGCCTAGCATGTATGGTTTCTATGGGAAACCAGAGAAGGTTTGGAAATGCTTGTAGAAGGCGGACATGTTGGAAGTGACTACACTCCAGTTGGCGATGCGAATGCGTATCAGGTTGACCACAATACTCACAAAAAGCGGTTTGCGTCGAGTCCCACAATGACTTTACTGTATTCGTCTGATATCCACCTGTAAGATTAAGACTAATCAATTTACGAGTTTGGTCTGACAGCTTGCGATTGATTTTATACTGGATGTATGGATCAAAAGGCGTATGCGTGACCCCTTTGCGATGCTGAATATGATCATATATATACATAAAAAGCCCAAGCCGACCTAAGCGCACGACGAATCTCATTTGGTGAGTTGGTACGAATGCATAATTGCTGACCATCTGGTAGCTCGAGCATGGCACTGAGCGTAGGTTTCCATTTGACTTTATCAAGATACTTACTTAAGGCTGCACATGGACCACATTTGGTGTCTTGATGAACGACATGATTCCACATGTCAGTGGCAAGATGAGTATGATAATGAAAAAGGCGACGAAAACAACAGAGCCGTGCTGATAACATATAACATGGGATCTTCCACTTTGGGATGATAGGATCAAGAGAGCCAACATGGAGGATGCATATTTATGTTTCCCTATTAGCACATCAGTATCTTGTCGACGTAATTTTACGACGTGAGATTCACCAATAAATTGGCTCTCCGCTGCATAAAATGCAAGGGGCCAAATAGCCATCTGTATTTTCGAGGCTCTCTCATCAATAGATAGTGTTTTTACTAAGTGTTCCACGTATTCTATGTATAATATACCTCCTGACCCTCGCACTTTGGCTCAAGAAAAAGGTGGGCGTTATTGGCTGATTTCCTGTAAACATAGATTATCAGCCGTATAGCCTTAGGCCCTTAGCTTTTGCTCCCTCGTCATTTGCAGCCATGGACTTAAGTCTGGATACGACAGCTCTCGCGAGGCTGGCTGCACCGTACTCAGGTGCGGATGGGCGGGAGAGCGCGGGTGGAAACCCCGCCGCTTTTCATTTGCCGTTGATGGATCCGGGAGTCTCGTCTACACCAGACGGAGGATCCAACATGTCAACTGATGGATGGGGAGCGGGTGGGAACACCGCGCCGATATACAATCAGGCCAATTTTTCACTTGTGCAAACACCTCCAGCAGTGGTCGCAGAGATGATGCGCCAGGCATCTCAAAATCAGCAACTTGAGGGGCAGCGAGCAGAACTAATGCTCGCAGCGCAAAGGCTCCGAGGGGAGGCTGATGAAGCTTTTTCCGAGAATGAAGAGATGAAGATCCAGGCGCGATCGTTTATCAATGCAGCCGAAGTTGGATATCAAACTCTACAAGAACAAGCTCAGAATCAGTTCATGGAAATGGCCATGAACCACCGTCAACAGATTGCTGGACTTGAAATGATGCAAAGTCAGAAAGTCTCTTTCCTCGAAATGAACTTGGCACAACAGCAACATGCATCCATGGACTTGCAAAGGCGGCTTACCGAAACGGAATCTATCCAGGCACAGCTCCTGAAGGAACTTCACGATTTGAAGGGACGGAAGGATGACGTGCCAGGCGTTTCGGAAGGAACTGCCGAAGTTCGTGATGCCATTCCGAAGCATGATGCACCGCTCTCAGGTTTGTCCCAAACTGATGATGTCAGATCTGTGAAGACTGCTGATCTGTTCGGTACTCCATCCATGAGGTCTCAACCCGCAGGCGTATTTTCCCCTAACGCTGCAGTTTTTCAACCAGTGAGTCCTTGGAACGATGGGTACGGGTCGTTAGCAGCCAATGCATTGTCAAGCAATCTGGGTAGAGGTGCGCCAGGTAATGGTGGCAGTGGACCACCTGGAGGGGGAGGAGGCAACCCTGGTGGAGGTCATCCATCGAGTGACCCTACCAATCCTGGACGTCCAGGCATTCCGCTCCTCAAGATTCCCAAATCGGGGGGTGGGCCACCTGGGCCTCCGGGAGGTGACAGCGATCCGGACGGAGGTGACGATTTTGACGATGATGACGATGAACTGACAGACAAGGCTCTCATGAAGAAGCTCAAACAAGTATTGGGGGGAAAAAGTAGTACCACGAAGGAAGCTGACTATATCAAGATACCTTCGTTTCCACAACCTGAGAACTATCGCAACTGGAAAATCAGGGTGAGGGACGCGGTGAGGGCCGCATCTTCCAAGCCTGACAAAGCGTTCTCATGGATCAACAAGGTTTGGATTGAAGGTCAGACTATCGAAGGTCTGGCAAGTCCCGACGGGTTCACTACCCTTGATGCCAAGCTTCTCGCCGCACTGTCGTCCATCGCCACAGGTGAATTCGCGCGCAAGGTTTGAATGTGTCAAGGAGAAGGAGTCCCAGAAAGATCGTCCAGTACGGGGGAGACAGGTGTTACTCATGATGCATGAATACTTCAGCACAAATATCAAACATGGAGCCACCTATTCCCTCAGTGATCTGTTCAATGTGAGAATGAAGGGCGACAATCTCAAGACTTTCTTGACGAACTGGGATTCAGTCACAACCGGTGTCACTCATTTGCCTGAAACCACAGTCCTGGAAACTCTATTCTACCAACAAGTGAAGAATCACAGGGCAATCGCCCATGACATTGAGGAGTACCACCGGGCCGAAGAGGGAAGTTCAAAGCATTGCTATCAACTCCTGTATGACGCCGTTCGCAGACATCTCATGAGGGAAAGGCTAGAAGACAATCGGGGTCGGATTGCCGCTAGTGTTGGCCAAGATGTCCGCTCCTGCTGCCGACGCGCGCACACCATTCAT